CAATTGCCAAAGGAGGGTTACACTTCCTTTGTCTTCATTTTGTGGAAAAAGATAATACATAGATTAACACAATTTTGGTATTATGTGACCAGAGAGATATCAGTGATTTTTCTTTCTGTATGTTAAGTCATCGCTCTATACGCCAACCCCCCTTTTTATTTCTAGTGCTCTTAACAATTGTGTTGGAGAAAGGACATCAAATGATGCTTAGAAATGTGATACACATTTTCATTTCACACTCCATCAGCTTTTACAGCTGTAGCTCAATGAAATGTAAGAGAGAGCTTGGCAAATGGCCATACTTACCAAGGTATAAAATGGGGGTCAGGTTACTTTTTTATAGAAAGGGGGGGGCCTGTTTAATGTTCAGTCCACATGACTGAGGCAGATATGTAGCTTACGCCCTAGAAAGGCGGCCTAGGCTGGTACGGGTTAGTGCCTGATCAGCCGGAGGTTGGGGGTTTTGTTGGTTGGTTTGTTTCTGCTATATTCTAAACGGTTTCTGCAAAGGAAAGAAACCTTCGAGTCCCACCCCCTTCCTCTCAGGAGTAGTGACACAGAGCCCATCTCGGGGAACCAGATCATCTTGGGTGTTAAATCGGTCACCTGCCGATGATGGCTTTTGCCCTCTGCTTAGAGTCTGGACCGGCTTATTCCCTTTGCAGCTGGGGAGGCAAAGCTATAGGAATCAGCAAGACCACAGCTTTCTAATTCAGATTTCAATCTGTCAGTCAGGATTAAAGCCTCATGCACGCATCAAGAGGGAGCCATCCATGATAACAGGAGCGCGGCTAGCGATCTCCGTGCTTTGCCGGCTCTGCTGCTTCCCTGGCAGGCCGGAGAGCGGGGCAGGGCATCCTGTACGCACCTCTGTTACGCCCGAGACTTCTCCCTTGGCTAAGGGCTTGCTGATGGAGGGGGTGTAGATTCTGGCATCTGAGGCTGGCTGTCCTTTCATGAAATGCTTTCCGGATTCATAAATGTCCACTTCGACCATTTTCCCCATAAACGAGGGGTTCTTTGGCACCAATACCTTAAAAAAAATCAGAAGACTGATATTACTTAAAAAGATAAAGCTAACCGTTTTATTTTAGAACAGTTTTACATTTACAGAGTTAATGCAAAGGTCATATTACAAATATCGTACAGAGAATTACTGATTATGGCTCACTCACCTTTCCTCACTCCCTCTAATAAACAATGTGCATTCATTTGTCATAATTAATGAACCAATATGGATCGATCGTTAGTCACTAAAGTCCATGCTTGATTCCGATCTCCTTCCTCCTTCCTCGGTTGCTCCCTAATGCTCCTTTTGTCCCGGGGGCCTGTCTAGGGTACGTTGGCCCCTTGGGTTTTGGTTGGGGCCCTTTTTGTTTGGGGCTTTTTCGTTTTTTTTTTTTTTTAAAAACCCTCATACATTGTGCTTCCTAAGTGTTGACTGAAAATATCCATTTTTTAAAGGGCTGAATGGAGGGGATTTTTGTATTCTCTGGACAGTCTCTAGGGAGTCCTTGGCCCGGCGGGCTGCTGACCACAAGGTCAGCCTTTGGAACCCACCAACCCTCGGCAGGAGGCTCTCTTCGCCTGTCAAGAGTTACAGTGCCGGAAACCCTCGGGGGCTGTTCCATTCTGTCATGGAGGCTGGACTCGGCTTGGGGTAGTGAGTTTGGGATGACACCTAAAGCCCTCCCCCCCACCACCACCACTGGCTGCAGAAATCGTTCTGGTTCACCGATGTAAGCTGGGGGGATAACAAGACAAGGGGTTGCCCCGTCGAGGGATAGGAGGGTAGATGTGATGCTATGGATAGAAAGTACCATGGATCTTGAGTGGTAGGGATGTGACATTGTCTGGTCACCTTTACATACATCTCTAGGATTTAAATTCCCATTTATTCATTTGAAGGGAAAAAAATGGAAAGATGTTTTTGAGTCCACTCTGATTCATGGCAACTCCACCTATATCAGAAGAAAACTGCTCTGCCCACCCTCCCAACCCTCCTTCCCGGAAGTCAATCCCCAGGTGCCTCTTGGGAGATTCAGATGTCCAGCCTCCAATCATACCACCCGGGGCCTGGCTGCTCAGTAGCTCATGGTGGGGGCTCTGACAAGGGCTATGAGAAGATCAAGAGGTGATGTGAGGCGCAGCAGGCAGTTCTGGGCGCTTCTCCACAGGCTCTGTCCTCCAGCTGCTGGAGGATCGAGGGACAGAGGAGGAGGAGGTGGTCTTCCTGGGAGGAGGCTCTTTCATTGCAGGATGCCTGCTGTCCTTCCGGCATGTGGATGGCAGACCGGGGATATCCCCCAGCCAGCAGCCAGCCACTTTGGGCAGGCCTTTGATAGCCTGCTCTTGGCTACTCCACGCGATGATGACGAAAACGGAGACAGCATTGATGAAAGCCTCAGACTGTCAATACCTTCCAAACTAGCTGTCAGCATCAACGGTTTGAACTTCACAGACAGGCCTGCAGACTTGTGCACGGACACATGTGTGCACATGCACGCACATGCATGCACGAGCGCATATTGGGGGTGCCAGGGTGTGGGAGCCAGGACCCCTGGTGGCGGAGTGGTGATGTTGGGCTGTGAGCCACAGGTCTACGGTTCAAAACCATCAACCATTCTGAGGGAGAAAGATGGGGCTTTCTAGTCCCGTGACCAGTCTCGGAAATGCAAGGGGGTGCTCCACCCTGTCTTACAGGGGTGCTAGGAGTTGCTATCAACACGATGGCAGTGAGGTGTTTGTTATTTTTATTTTTTTGAGGATACGGGAGTACATTTAAAGGCAACCTTTAAAATATTGTAAATATTGGCGCTTGGAGCTAAATGTCTCTTCTAATGAGGGGCTGCCATCCATTCCTCTGGCTGTTCTGAAATGCATGTGGTCGTTCCTTCCAGGCAAAGAGAACCATCTGTCCACCAGAGATGACCGGTAAAAGCCCTTGTTTACCCTGGGCAAACGGGTCCCCCTCTTGTGGGACAAGAGGTAGTTTATAAGCGTCTCCTTCACACTTCTATTGTAGTCCTACAGCTCCTTGCCAATCTTTCCACGCCAGGATCCAAAATAAACAGACCGGTTCTGAGGCTGCAATGCGTTGGTATTTAGATGACAGCAACCTCCCCTCGGGGACTCAGCTACTGAGAGAAGTAATGCCCATGGACTCCGCGACTCTCTTCCTTGCAGAGACTTGTAGCAAAAACAACAACGAGACACGCCAGGGGAGAGCTGGAAGGGCCACCGCCGATTTCTCTAGCAGGCGAAACTGGATCTTGGCCTTTCGGAGTTCCATGTCTACGAGCACTGGGTGTACTGCTCCATCAGCGGGTGACAGGAAGAGAGTCACCCTGAATGGGGAGTTCCCTGGGCCAAGCAAATCACCTTAAAAACGAGCTTAAAGAATCAGGCTCGGACAGCGCTTTGGCATTCGTTTTCAGGAAACAACATTTACAATGAAAAATCTCTCAAGGCAACGGTTCCTGGGAGACGTGGTCCTATTCTGGGGGAAGATGGCTCCCTCACCCCTTGATCTGCAGCCTCGATCTGAATGAAGGGCTCAATGTTTTTCCCCCTCCGGTTTTAAGAATCGGAAAAAGCCGGGCCACTTCAAATGAGAGGAAACAGCTAATGAGGCTTGCGTTGCCTTTAAATGGAAGGGAAAGCAAGTTCCCTGCTGAGGGAAAAGCCCAGACAGCAGAGAGGAATTGGAAGTGGTGACCAAAATCCAATCGAGCTCCTCCCCAGGGCTGAGCAGAGGGTTGGCCTGGAGGGGACAAACGGCTCTCTGGAGCGCACGGAGATGGAAACTGCAGAGAGACTCCGTTCCCATGTGTGAGGAGGGAGTCCTACCCAAGGGCAGGCTCCACTGGGTACCCAACAGGACATGCTCACCCTGGGCTTCCGGGTTTCCTGAGGTCTGCTGCCCAGTTTGATACACTTCTCCTGGGTGGAACACAGACGTGGTCTCATTAGGTACCCTTTCCCCAATGTCTAGCACACACAGGGTCCTTCTCTTGCCCATTCCTTCTCAATGTGCCCACACTGTTCTTAGGAATCTTCTAATGCTCTCATTCCAATCATGACTCGTTTGCTAGGAATTCACATCTTCTCCAGGGAAGAAGAGTGTTTTCAAAACACAGAGTCCATCCATTTGCTTGGAGGGATGCATGAAAATCTCTGTCATCCCCAGGGGAGTGCATGCCTCCCATCTCTTCCCTGGGCCGTGATGGGGTTGTGTAGTTTCTCTGGCCATGTCTGGGTGTATTTCCCAATGTGGGCAGAAGTGACCAAGACGCACTCAAGCTCCTGCCCAAGGCTGAGCAGAGGGCTGGAGCTCACAAGGTTGAAGTGCAGCGCTGGCAGGGCGGGGGAAGGAGACTAATGAGCGGGGAGCCCCCAACACTGGCTTCCAAAACTGTCGAGGTAAACCAATTTGTTCTTCACATTGCTCTCCACCTAGAGTGGAGTTCAAGGGGTGGGGTCACTCC